ATGCTTTTGTTTAGCTTAATAAGTAAAGTCTCCACAGTTGCCAGCGGACGATGACATATTTCGTACGCAGATAGCCCCCCGCCATATTATGGCTTAATAATTGATGATTTACGGATAACTCATAGATAGGTCGCATTATAATCTGGGGAGTTACACAACCCTTTTCAAATGTAAAAATTATCAGGTATCTATGTTTATTTTTACCTTTATTTCAAACTTATAATAATTAATACATTTTTACAGTTAAAATACATTTCGTCAATCCACATGTAAACAAAAGGAAGTAACTGTTGTACCAGTATTTTTATATTTACCGCATATTATTTTTATATTGAGTCAACTCGACAAAAAAGAATGGCAATAACTACAGAAGAAAATGTTATGATGCATTTAGAAAAAAGTATCTATCATATATATATATATATATATATATATATATATATATATATATTCGGAAGTGCTATCTGATGATCCGGCGTCCTTTAAAAGGGCTCTCGTGAAATAAATTATTATAATGGTACCTTAAAGTAGTCTGTTTTTCTTTAAAATATATCAAGTTACAGTTTTAAAATTCATTCACAACTGAATCCCAAGAATTTTTCCTTACTACCATCGCTATCAAACATCATTCTCATTTGTTCATCAGTTAATAGGTTTTCATTATTGTCCATTTCATAGTAGTCATTCAACTCATCATCACTTGTGATATAACCATCTTCATTTTTGTTTGAAGCAACCATATCCTTATTCTAGGCCTTTTCTGCACTTGAAGCAACTTTACTAAATCCTCATATATGTCATCTTCAGTTCCATCCATGGCATTTGAGATACCACATTTTTTGAGGGACAATAACCTTTCCTTAAGGGAATTTACAAAAATCAAGATGACAACGTTGTGTTGTTTTATATTTATGTCGAGCGGATAGGTGGCACCCCTAATATTTTGGGATTTTTTTGGTAAAATAAGTGCGACCTATCCGCGTGTATATACGGTATCTATCTATCTATCTATCTATCTATCTATCTATCTATCTAGTTCAGTCTTTTCATACCTATCTATCTATCTAGTTGAATCTTTTAATAGCTATCTATCTAGTTGAGTCTTTTCATATCTACTATCTATCTAGTTGAATCTTTTCATATCTATCTATCTGTCTGTCTCTCTTTCTTTCTAGTTCAGTCTTTTCATATCTATCTATCTATCTATCTATCTATCTATCTATCTATCTATCTATCTATCCGAGTCTCTTCTTATCTACCCCAGTCTATCTACCGTATACATCTCCACTTTCATCCATGGCATTTGAGAAGCCACATTTTTTTAGAGGGATTTCTTAAGCGAATTCTCAGAAAATCCTGATGACAAGGTAATGTTGTTTTACAATTGGGTCGAGCGGATCGGTCGCATCTCTAATATTTTGGGAAAATTTTTGGTAAATTAAGTGCGACCTATCCGCGAGTCAATACGCTAACTACAGCAGTCACATTGCAAACAAAAAAGGTTATCACCTGATAATATTTAAAATTTAAAAAAGCGTTATAATATGATTTCATGTGATAATGTTTTTATATCATGGGGCAAATTTTAAATTGACAAAAATCAGATGAGCGTGTCTTAAACAAAGTAAATGTATAAATATGGAATCTGCTAAAGTTGAAATCAGTCTTTAAGATATGTCTTTCCAACGTTTTCAAATCTTGACAATTTTTGGTTCGACTTTTATACTAAGCAAAAGCTTTACACGAGTGTCTTCACGTTAAACAAGTTAAAATTATGTAATTAGCGTTTTTTATCAGACACAATACATTTGTATCATAGGATGATCGACGTATTTACGAAACTTGAACCAAGTCCAAAAATTGAATATATATATCCTTAAATATAATACGCCACATACACATATATAAATTTAATTAATTCATCGAGTCTGATAGAAACCTCAACAGAATGCAGAAAGCACTGGACGGCCGTTTCGTCCTATATTTGGGACTCATCAGCAGTGCGCATCTACTACCGAGAATTGAAACCCTGACAGTTAGGTTGTCAAGCGAACATCATACCAACTGTTCCAAATGGGCCTCGGTGACGAAGAGATTCCAAATCAGACTCAACAAAGCGCCGCTCGCTCACATATTCGGTGGCGGAACTCGACTGAGATTCTCTGTAACCATAGGACTGTGCCCCCTGGAGCCACGACTACTCTCACCAAGCCGCTACCTACTGTAGCATTAGAAGCCGGTCCAAGCGATGATAAACACAAATAGTACTTAGTCGGAGGATTTGATAAATTTAATTAATTCATCGAGTCTGATAGAAACCTCAACAGAATGCAGAAAGCACTGGACAATATATATATATATATATATATATATATATATATATATATATATATATATATATATATATATATATATATATACAGGTAGGATGAGAACGAATAGAGTACACTTCCAACGTAACATTTAATTTATAATATATATGTTATTTTTTTGCGTATAG